CTGAGATGCTTGCTAGGCAGTGCTCTGCTGCCTTGCCTAGGCAATGAGTGGTGGAGCTTGCTGTTTCTTTTATTTTTTAGTTTTTTGGATTTATTTTGGCCTTTTTTTGAAGAAAAAGATAAATGCCTAAAGTGCCCAGTAGAGGTCCTAGGTGGTGGCCCAACGTTGAGCACCTTTTGCTACACTGATTTTTTCTTGTTTCCTTTTTGGAAATCCTTCTTCAGTGTTCTATTATATTATGTTTTTCATTAAATTTGAATTTGTATGTGAAAACCCTGAAATATTTGATCTCAATTTTCTTTTATAGGTTTTGAACCATTTGTTATATCTGATGCGTATATCAGAGAAGCCAGTCCAGAGACGAGTTGCTTTAGCTCTTGCCCATCTTTGTTCCCCAGAGGACCAGAGAACCATATTTATTGAAAATAATGGTATTTCTTGTCTCTTCTTAAATAATTTCAAACTCATATTGTATTCCAACTCTTAAGTGGTTTGGATGAGGATACCACAAGTGCACATGCAGCTGAGATGGTTATGGCGCCATACATTCTAACCATGTCGAGTTTTCATGCAGGTTTGGAGTTGCTTCTTGGGCTTCTTGGTTCTGCGAGCCCAAAGCAGCAATTTGATGCCGCTGTGCCTTTATACAAGTTGGCCAACAAAGCTATGACTCTTTCTCCTATTGATGCAGCTCCCCCTTCTCCAACACCACAGGTGAGTTGTTCCAAAAGCTGATTAGTCCTGTTCTCTGCCTTTCCTTTTCGTTAATAGATCTGAACAGAGACAGATAATTTTTTGATTTGTATGAATTTATGATCATATCCTGATCACCTGTTATGGCAAAATTGGTATTGTGTTTGAAATATATTATCATGTCATACTCTTGTGATTGGAAATGATATTTTCTAGTTTTTGAGAATTGAAGAATATGTATATATTGATAAGGATATCTAAATTATATTCCAACTATTTGGATGCTGGACATGAAAGCTATTGCCAAATTTGCATTTGATGTAATTGAAGCATATATGGAATTCAGAAGCCTTAAAAGGAAAATAAATGAAACGAAGATGGTCTTTCTAAACAAAAGTAAGGTTTTTATTACCAAAAAGAAAATGATGGAAAGGATAACATTGAAGGATTTTAGTTGCTATTAGTTTATTATTTATTATCATCATCATCGTCAGCATGGTGGTGGTGGTGGTGGTGATGTGCTTGTAATTTCAATTATGGCTGCATATAGATGTTTCTGTATGTGGTTGGAAGATGAAACAGTTTATACTTTCATAATGTGCCCATGCTAACAAACTAATCTTACTGCAGGTTTATTTGGGGGAGCAATATGTAAATAATGCTACTTTGTCGGATGTTACCTTTCTTGTTGAAGGTTGTTACTGGATATGCTTATTTAAATCTGTGATTCTTGTTATAGAAAAATATTGCGGTGGACCTGATATATTTTGTTTCCATGAAATACCTCTCTAAATGTAAATTCTGTTTTACGCGCAGGTAGACGGTTCTATGCTCATAGAATTTGCCTTCTTGCTTCTTCAGATGCATTTCGTGCAATGTTTGATGGTGGCTATCGGGTGAGTTTGCTTCCTCCCCTCATCTTAAGCAGACCTGTGGGTCTTATCCTTCACTGCTAGCTTTGTCGTTGTGGATTTTTATTCAAGTGTTATTCTGATAGCAATGACAAAGGCAGAGACCTGCAATTGATATGACATATATTCCTTTACTCCTTTGTTTATCAAGATTCTGGAGTTTAATCTCCAACTCCATTTACCCTTGTGAACTCAGACTTTATGCAATGGAGTATTATCATTTGTTTAGCTATAAATCTGCCATTCTTAAACTTAGGGCAAGGAACAATGGATTAATGTACAACAATATGCATCTTTAAATTCCTATTGGCATGTATTGCAGGAGAAGGATGCAAGGGATATTGAAATTCCAAACATTAGATGGGAGGTTTTTGAGTTGATGATGAGGTAAGTTCTCTTACCTAGGGTTCGGATTTCTTTAGATTGAGCGTCAATAGTTTACATGAATGGATTTCTATACAGATTTATATACACTGGATCAGTGGATGTTACATTAGATATTGCACAAGATCTCCTCAGAGCTGCTGATCAGTATCTGTTGGAGGGACTTAAGCGACTCTGTGAATATGCTATTGCACAGGTGAGCTAAATGGATTTTTGTCCCTTATTTGAATTCATATAATGCTTTAGATTTTGAAATGGACATCTGACATTCTTTTTCTTTTCAGCCCCAGATATCTGACATTCATCCCCTTTTTCTTTGGGTTGTTTTTTTAAGGATATATCATTGGAAAATGTGTCTAGCATGTATGAACTTTCAGAGGCCTTCAATGCTATATCATTAAGGCACACATGCATTCTGTTTATCTTGGAGCAGTTTGATAAATTGAATGCAAGGCCCGGGTATGTAGTTCCATTATGCTAGCTGCTAGACATTCTTGTTTTTCTGTAAGAACTAAGAAAACCCAATAGCTAGATGTGTATATACCAAAATAATAATAATAATAATAATAATAATAAAAAGGCTAGTGTGTTCTATACTTAAGCAATTTGTCTAGGTATATTGATCATAAAAAAGGAAAAAGATGTTAAGTGGCATCATAAGTATTTGATATATTGATCTAAATGAATGGTTGAATCATACCTAATTACTTAGGCAGAATGCTCAAATTGTAAGTTAAGAATTGTAGGTAGATGTTGGTCTCTACCATAGAAGATGATTTGTATCCTGTTATGAAGAATTTGATGACCAATTGGGCAAATTAATATCAAATCTGTTAGGTTCTATATTCAAGTTCATTTCAGAGAAAAGAAAAAAAGAAAAGAAAAGAAAAAAAGAGAGAGGGTTTTCAAAGCTCTATCATCTCTTTGAGCATTTCGGCGATTCAAATAAGGCAGAGTCCAAGTCTTACATTCTTTGGTATCACCTAATTTTTGGCACTCCCTCCATCCTATTTTGGATGACATATTAATTTTGACCTTAACATGTAGGAGTTTAGGAGGATCATTCACACCTTTTGCTTTCCTAGATTGAAATTATGGAAAAAATCTAATATTATCAATAAACTTAAGGTCATAAATTACAAAGGCTACCATTATTTTTTGTTGGAAGTGAAATAAAAATGAGTTACATAAAAAGGGAGGGATGGAGTATAATGTTTTGAGCACATCCGGCGGCCCTAACCCCAACCATGGCTGCACCTACACCGGCTGTGGAGTTCATCCAGTGCTTTGGACCCAAGAAAACGGCGGTGGCAGTCACCTACTGCAAGCGCGGGAAAGGACTGATCAAGATCAATGGCTGCCCCATCGAGCTTGTGGAGCCCGAGATCCTACGATTCAAGGGCATTGAGCCAATCCTACTCCTCGGACGTCACCGCTTCAACGGAGTAGACATGAGGATTCGCGTCAAAGGTGGAGGGCACACCTCACAGATCTACGCGATCAAACAGAGCATCGCCAAGGCTCTCTTCGCCTACTAGCAAAAGTTTGTGGATGAGCAGCAGAAGAAGGAGATTAAAGACATCTTGGTGAGGTACGATAGGACTCTGCTCGTCGCTGATCCCAGGTGGTGCGAGCCCAAGAAGTTCAGTGGTCGTGGCGCCAGAGCTAGGTTCCAGAAGTCTTACCGTTGAAGTATCAAAAAGAAGAATGTTCTTCTTATGGTGGGTTTGTCTCATTTTTTAGCCCTTTTAATGTTCAACTGCATTTACTTATATTATGTTGTTCGCAGTTATTCAATACTAGAAATGTTTTGATTCTAATTTTCCAATGCAAATTTTTTTCTATCTTGCTCGAGTAAGAGCTACTCTTCAATTGATTGTGTTCTTTTACTTTATGCATTAATGGGGTTTCAAACTAAACTCTGCTTGATTATAACCAGTAGCCCTTAAATTTGTATTCAGAAGTTTGGATTTGATTCTGGATGGTAGTTGCTCTTATTGGGATTTGTTTTGATTCTAATTTTCCAATGCAATTTTATTCTATCTTTGCTCAAGTAAGACCTACTCTTTAATTGATTTTGTTCTTTTACTTTATGCATTAATGGGGTTTCAGACTAAACTCTGCTTGATCATAACCAGTAGGCTTTAAATTTGTATTCAGAAGTTTGGGTTTGGTTTTGGATGGTAGTTGTTCTTATTGGGATTTGTTTTATATTCATATGCTTGGCTAAATGTGCACTTTAGAAGAATCTAGTTCTACAAAAAGATACCTGTTTTAGTTATTTTTGGCTTTTTAAACTGGCTCAATTGTTTGTCAATTCCTGCTTTAAGCCTGAACTGTAGTGACACTGTTTGATGTTAACAGGGCCAAATGCATGTGCTTGATCTCTTTTGTTTTGACATTTGTTTTTCCCAAATAACTAGATGTCTGAAGGGTATGTTTTAATCTTTAGATGATTTAAATGGTGCCAAAGACTTGCTTTACAGTGTAATGCTTGTTTCAAACCTTGATGAAGACTGAAGAGGGTTCATGTTGATTTGAAACCCCAATGATATGGTTCCCGACTTAATCTGCTGGTTTTTTTTTTTTTTTTTCTAGGAGGTTATAGTTTTATGCGCTCCAAGGACGATAACATCACACACGCGCACACACACACATATATATATAAATACAAGACTTAAAAGATTAGTACGTTAAGTTATTCCAAACTTTAACACTAAAAAGTTAAAATCACTGTCACTTATTCCTATTCTTTGCTTCAACAGACAAATGCATTGCAAAAATTAAAAGTACAAATTAGAAAAAAGAAAGGTGAAAAATGCATCCAAATTGATTTCCTAATAAGAAAAGGATACTAACCTGAACTTTGAGGACTATTTTTAAGAGAGCACTTGAGAACTTTCAAACGAACCAAGTGCGCATAATATGTTTGAGCTCTGAAATTCAGATGGCTTTATGTAATTATACAAATAAATGCCACACATAGAATCTTAACATGTTTTATTTAAGATTTGTTAGTTTTTTATCTGAATTTGAATTCTTTTATTTCTAATACTAATTTGAAAAATGCTCTTATATATATGTGGTTCATTCCCCTTGTTACAGTAATAATACTTACAAGCCGTTGAAGCAAGGTCCATGCATGTGTTAAACCATAGAATAAAAATTACAGATCATGCATGGCAAAGAAATTTAGGAGCTTGGACGAAAAGAAGATCCCCAATCAGGTGCTTTTCTCTATATGTTAAATAAAGACTGAGAATATCTAATTAACAAAGTTAAGTCTCATTTTAACTTTAAGTGAATAGTAAGTAGAGTCACATTGACTTCAAGTATTAGATCTCTATTTTGTCAATCAGAAAAGAGAAAAAGAAAACACTACATCAACAGAAAGATTCTCTAATTTACTAATTACGTAAGCACATAGAGGATAGCTATATATATTACAAATGATTTGGTGAGGTTTCTAATTCCTTCGCTTGTCTTTGTAACAGTACTTACAAACTACTTAAGCACCCCATGCAAAAGTTACACGACAGAATAAAAGTTATACATCATGGCAAATAAATTTAGGAGCTTGGATGAAAAGAATGATCCCAAATTGCATGCTTTTTTTCATGTGTTGAATAAAGAATGAGAATATCTAACAAACAAAATTAAGTCACATGTTTAAGTGAATAATAAGTAGAGTTGAATTAACTTGAAGTATTAGATTTC